TCTCTCTCTCTCTCTCTCTCTCTCTCTCTCTCTCTCTCTCTCTCTCTCTCTCTCTCTCTGCGTTTCTCTTTCTCTCTCCCTCTCCCTCCGACGACTTACATTTGGCTCTCACTCTGTCTGCATCGACGTACATTTGACTCTCTCTCTCCCTCTCTGTGGTACCTTTGAATCTCTCTCTCTCTCTCTCTCTCTTTCTCTCTCCCCATCAACGTACATTTGACTCTCTCTCTCTCTCTCTCTCTCTCTCTCTCTCTCTCTCTCTCTCTCTCTCTCTCTCTCTTCGATGAAGAATGTTCTTAAATTTTTTCAAAATTTTCTTGTCCTTTTTTTTTCCTTTTCTTAACTCGACACTGTGGTCAGCATTCCCGCCAAATAAACTTCCCGCCAATGAGTTAATTTGTTTGTTGCTATTAGTCTTCATCGAGGAAACAGAACCATCATCGTCAGAGGAAAAGATTCGTCGTCCTCCTCCTCCTCCTGGTTGTCATCATCACCAATCATCACCAATCATCACCATCATCACCATCATCACCAATCATCACCAATCATCACCATCATCACCATCATCACCATCATCACCAAAAAAGAACTGAAACATGAGAAGAAGAAGAAGAAAGAAGAAAGAAGAATGAAGAAGCAGAAGAAGAAGACAACGAAGAAGAAGAAGAAGAAGAAGAAGAAGAAGAAGAAGAAGAAGAAAAGAAAAAGAACAAAAAAAGAAGAGAAGAATGAAGAAGAAGAAGAAGAAGAAGAAGAAGAAAGAAGAAGCAGAAGCTAAAGTACGAGGTCGAACAGCAGCAGCAGGAGGAGGAGGAGGAGGAGGAGGAGGAGGAGGAGGAGGAGGAGGAAATGAGGTAAATGCCATCAAGTAAAGAAGGGGGATCAAACGTAGAACAAAATGGGGGTTGGCCCCTCGGGGGTTTCCCTCCCCGGGCCCCCAATCCACCCATTGACCCTGGCCCCCCCCCCCCCCCCCCCCCCCCCCCCGGCCCCCCCCCCCCCCCCCCCCCCCCCCCCCCCCCCCCCCCCCCCCATAGAACCGATAGGAAATCGTGCGGCTGCCGGTCACTTTTCCAGTTACCCCATCCGGTTACCACGACCAGTTACCGGGCGTGAGGTGTACTAAACCCGGTTACCACACCCGGTTGCTACACCCAGTTACCACTCCCAGTTACCACACCCGGTTACCACTGCCAGTTACCACCCCCGGTTACCACGCCCGGTTACCACTGCCAGTTACCATCCCCGGTTACCACTCCCAGTTACCGGGCGTGAGGTGTGGGAAACCCGGTTGGCATGCCCAGTCCGCACACGTCATGTCCCCACTTACCGCGTCACGCACTCCGGCTACCACACCTGCCGGTTACCACACCTCCCGGTTACCCCACCGCCCGGTTACCACACCTCCTGGTTACCACACCCTGTTGTTACACCCAGTTACCACACCCAGTTACCACACGCAGTTACCACGCCCGGTTAGTCCCAGCTGCCACCCCCGGTTACCACTCCCAGTTACCACACCCGGTTACCACTCCCAGTTACCGAGCGTGAGGTGGGGGAAACCCAGTTACCGCGCCCAGTTAGCACACCTCATGTCCCCACTTACCGCGTCACGCACTCCGGTTACCCCACCTCCCGGTTACTCCACCTCCCGGTTACCACGCATCTCGGTTACCACGCCTCTCGGTTACCACGGCTCCTGTTATCCTGAGGGGTTAGCAACCTCCTGCCTCACTGCTCATAGTTTTTCTTCTTGGGAGTATTCGAATGTCGAGAAGCTTTACAGCCTGGCCCCTGCACAGGGATGAACGCACATATTGAGAAATGCCCCCCCCCCCCCCCCCCCCCCCCCCCCCACACACACACCCGTTTTAAAAGATTGAGCACATTTTTTCGGCCTGCCACGTGGCACAATGTTAGCGCACGAAAGAAGTGAAGCGTACAGTGTGCAGAGCGGGAGGCCTCGTCATTATTATTATTGTATTATATTATATTTTAATTTTGTACTTTTCAATCCCCTTTTGTACTCCTTATTGTCATCTTCATCCGTTTTCGGCTTCACACCACCGTTGCTACGCCATCAACTGCGCTGTGCCATGGATGGGGGTGCACCCCCTCACTCCAGGGGGAGGGGGGGGGCGCGCAATGAAGAGCGGGTGGGGAAAGGGTAAGGGGGGCCAGCGGGCGATAGTGGGGGAGGGCCACGGAGAGCGAGAAAGGGGCCGGGGGGGCGGAGAATGGAGAGGGGAAAGGAGGGGGAAAGGAGGGGACAGTTAGGGGCTCGCCGAACCATTTGCCAAGCGCCAACATTTTGAATGTATCAGGACCTAGTACTTGTCCTAATACATTCAAAATGTTGCCGTTTGGCGAGTGGTGCGCGAGCCGGTTGGCTTATTTTTACCCACGCAACGTATTCAGAGAGAATGACGTGTCTTAAAAAAAAAGAAAAAAAGAACTACGTGTGAAATAGAATGACGTGGAATACCGAATGACTTAACTGATTCCTTTTTTTTTTTTATCGTCTGTGCTTCGCATTTTGGCTGCGTTTTTTGTATTGCACTACGTCTTCTTTGTTTTTCTTTTTTTTTTCTTTTCTACTTGACACTATATTACTCCTGTCTCTTATACACATCTAGATGTGTATAAGAGAAAGACGCTACAACCGAGCTCGAGCCGACGATGAATTAGTGGGGGTTGAAAGTCTGACCATGGGTTAAAGGCCTAACCGTTGGGTTATGGGTGCGGCCT